CAACAAAGAACATTGAATAATAACATGCAAAAAGCAGACAATGTCCTATAACTATCACAATTTTTCTGGATTTCTAACTATGTGACAAGAGCCATTACAAGTTCATCCAAGCTAGTTGATATGTTTCCCGTGGGAACAAAGCTTGTACTGAACAAAATATTAGCAATCCTCTGTACAGAAAACAACATAATATAATACATCATTTGATAGATAAACATCTTGGTTTTCTATTGGTTATAAATAGAATAGTATTAAACATAAGCAAGATCTATTAATAAATCCTGAAAGAGAATGTGACAGGTGGGTGTTGCCAGAGGGGTCTGATTTTCTATTTGATGTCTTTGTAACCAAACAATATTGAAGGCTATGAAATTTATGCTTTGTCTGAGTAATGATGATATTATAATGAGTAATTTACATTAAATTTCATATTTATCGGAGTGGTGGTGAATAAATTAAGAGAAGAGGGGATGACTAGAGAAAAGATGTCACATTTCCCACATTAGAGGAAATTCAGAATTTTTTAATATTGCCTTATAAAATGAAGAAGTTAAAAATTACATACTATTAAATTTGGGTTATTAGCTATGATTTTATGCTATACTAATTAGTATAACATAAACTAAAAGTAGTTTAATTACATTTTGAATGTAACTCACTAAAAACCTCGTGGCATGCAGTAAAGGATACCTGTGGCAAAAAGGATAATCTTTTTTTAATGCCCTGTATCAATGTTTTAGTATTAATTTAATGTTTTTAATTGCTGTTATATCAATTCCAGTGTTCCCTTGTAATCAAATCTCTCACAGTTCTCGTATTTCAACAGCTTCTTATGTATAAATGTTGGGATAGAAAATGTGCAAATGATAAAAGTTAGAAACTTAAGTTGAGTTCCCTCTAATTTTTCATGTCAAAATAACCATTTTAATGCATAAAATATGATACCTTTCCATCAAAGCAGGCTACAAGTAAGAATTGTCAAAATTATGAAAATTACATATTTTAGTATTGGTTTACAAACCTCAATTGAAAGATTGTGTGGTTGACATACACACTTATTTATATATAATATACACCATAATTAGTTGTTTTTTGAATAGAATGTAAAAGGAATAAAAAGGGGAGACTGATCTGGCATTGTCCCTGCTTGTTGAAAGTATTATTATTTTTTAATTGAATTGTAAGCAGATTAAAAAGATAACCTTGTTGTAAAATATGACAATTCAACATATAATATTGGGTTTGTAAGAAGTTGGTTTTAGAAAATCCAAGTTATATTGAAAAGCATAAAACCACTATTAAATCTCATTTTTTAAAGAGATATCGTAGTTCTTTAGCTACCTTTAACAATACTGAAATAAAGTGTGAAAATGATTTAAATATCTTGGAATTACAGGAAACTGTTCTAGTTGTCTTTTTTGGAGTGGAATACATTGTTAGATTGTGGTCAGCAGGCTGTAGGAGCAAGTACATGGGGGTTTGGGGAAGACTGAGGTTTGCAAGAAAACCTATATCTTTCATTGGTATGTTTGTCACTTTACATTGCTTGTTAAGATTAAGTGGTCTTTATTTTTATGTGAAATAAAATATCAGTTATATATTAAGATGTGCAATAACAATATAGACAAATATTTTACAACAAAATATAATGTTTTATAATTTCAAGCTTTAACACATTTACGATTACTATCATCAGATGAAGCTGAATATCAAAATACATAATCATGTAAACCTTCTTAAGAATTTTCATAAGACAGTGATATTTAATGATTCTTGTTACAGTAATGTTAATTTTAGTAATTTTCCACATGTGTAAATATTTTTAGTTTTCAGTTGAAGTATTATTATAAACAACCTACATGATGAGCGAGAAAAGACGAAGTAAGTGGTGTGTAAAGGATTTACACTTTGCAATTATCAACATATAGCTTGTAAGAATGAGTTTTCTTATACTGAAAGAAATAAGTATAAATAATACCTGTAAGAGCAGAATCTTCTAGAACCCTGTTGAGTTGCAAATTCCCATTTTTGTTTCCTCAGATCTGATTGTTGTAGTAGCTTCAGTAGTGGTCCTTGCTGTTGGATCTAATGGTCAAGTGTTTGCCACCTCAGCTATAAGGTAGCTATATTTTCTCATTTGAATTTTTATTTCAATGAACACATTGGATGGGTTATCACATGAGAATAGACAAAGAACTCTTAATTTGTTGTTTTTTGGAAAACAACAAAGGGTTAATGATGAATTCTAAGGGCAATAGGATAAGAGGTCACAAACTTATGACTAAAAGGTCAAAAACATTTCCAATTGAGGGATTTTCCTTTCCCAGTGATATTTCAGCGAAACAAATTAAAATCTAGAGTGGCTGAACTTTAAAGGAGCTTGAGAAAATGGTTAATGTTTAGTTGGGGAAAATAAGGATTAGATTTAGTGATACAAAAACTCAAAACAGTAGCTCTGGAGGGCAGCTTTGATTATCAAAGAAAATTCCAAACAACAAACCACTTGTATCTAATGCCATTTTTACTTATCTTTGATCAATTCAATCATGTGTCAAACTGTGGGTTTAAAACAACTTCAGAAACATCTTCATCAACTGTCATAACCCATCCAACCCCAGAATCATCTTCATCAACTGTTTGTATTTGAGATTTTATATTTCAATGTACTTACTATTGTTTTTATTCAACAGAGGCATTAGGTTCCTTCAGATATTGAGAATGTTGCATGTAGACCGTCAAGGTGGAACCTGGCGATTGCTGGGCTCCGTAGTGTTTGTCCACAGACAGGTGAGTTAAATAATAGATTTTTTGTAGTTTGTTTTTAAGTGTATCAAATATGTTAACAATGTGTCTACAGATGGGGTCAAAGTTACATCTTACAACTTTTACAGAGTTACATTCAAAGTTTAATTACTTTATTGTCAATGTACGTTAATCATTTTGGCATCAAAATATAGTTTATAATTCAAATGCTAATATTATATAAGTTTTAATTTCTTAATTTAAAAAGGATGTATTTAAATTTCTTTTATTTCCTTTATATGAGTTTCAAAATGTCTCTACCATTAGATACACCAGATATATATATTAACAGTCCAGAATTTAAAATAAGAACCTCTCACCTTCTTTGTTTTCTGGGATATCAATAAGACCCATCACCGAAACCCCTCCTCCCAACTCTTCATGCTTTTGAAAATACTTATTTACTGACACTTACATGTCAGTGGTGCATGGTTATCACCAATAGAAAGGTTACTTCATGAACTTTGTGATTATGACATATTTATGTTAATTCATTTTGGTAAAAGCAGAAATTATTGAGTGAATACTGAAGTTGTTGCTTTGGTAAGTGATCAGAATTTTCTAAACCTGTTTATAGGTCAGTTAGAAAGGCAGACTAATTATACTTGTTTTGTGGCCTTTTGTCTTACTCTTTTGAATTATTGTTTGTGTTTTAAAATGCATATTTGAAAGCTGCATACATTATTTTTTGGACAACAAAATTACTGAGAAAAAGTTAGACTTAACAAAGATCATTTTCTGAAGGTAAGAGACCTCAGTTCTGCAGGAAGTGCTAAATTTCTTTTTGTATGTATATTTTTTATTTATTGATATATTTTTAAAAAGTAACTAAAGGGTAAAACTAGAATCTTATTAGGTTAGATGAAAAGAATTTAAAAAATATTTTTGCCTTGACTAACACAAGGAATGTATGTAGTTAGACATTGCATGATGTAACCTGAAATTTTGTTTATCCTAAACTCTTCACATACTCATAGGGTGATTTATTGCTATTTTCAATAGTTATACGTGGTTTAAAGAGCAATAAAATAATGAAATCAAGTGAAAAACATGTAAACTGTTAAAAGCCTGAGTCATTTTAGGATAAAGAATTTTAATTTTCTGTTACAACCTGCAGTCATTCTGGAAAGAAAAAAAGAGTAATCTGGATTTACTTATTTCTTTTTTCTTGGTGGTGGTTATGTAGTTGGTCAAATGGACTGAGTCTATTTAGTGTTAAGGTGGAGAAATTAACAGACAAAGTACAGAGTTTTATTTAAAAAGAACTTGACATTCTTTTAGGAAGTCCTTGAGGTTATGGAACTGCAAGCTGTAAGATGACAAAAAGTATTTTATTCTTATCCCTATGATATCGATGTGCTGGAAAGTGAAGCATGTTATGTAGCTCTCCTTAAACTTTGTTCCAGTAATAATATAATGAGTGAATAATGTTGTTTAACACTTGACAAGAACTTTCAGAAAAATATGTAGTTTGAGATTTATAAAATATTTAGTTTTGGTTTTTTCTACTCATTCTAATAACAATTTGTTATTTCATTTAGTTATTTGCATTCAGACTCAGAATAGTTCACTTACAAGGTGATTTTCATTTTGTGTTTAAGAATACTATTTATTATCATACAATCTTCACCTTTCACTTGCATAATCTCTAGAACCTCCTAAATGAATATCAAAAGGTTTTTAATGTAATTGTTTATATTTTATTTTCCATTTTCTCTACCATATCACTAACTCTAGCTATTATCATCAATGTACAGTACAATGAAATGCTTAAAATTAAGAAATTGAAATATGTACATATATTTTAACCTTTCGTCGAATAATCTTAAAAGATTTTCTTTGGGTCATATGAGAGCGGCAGAATAGTATGAATGGCAGAGATACCTTAGCCTCTGGCAAAGTCTTTATACTTTTTAATGTAAGCCTTGCAGAATGAGGGGAAGCTTTGGTTATTTTATAAAAATTATTAAACCTTTTAAGTATGAATTTTAAATCACAAATAATGCACTATTAACTAAAATATAAAATTAAAACCTAAATACAATTTAACTGTCTCTTTAACTATAACATATTTAGGTAAGAAATGGCTGAAGTGCTCATCGTGAAAAAAGCAGCCAACAATAGTACAAGCGGTTAGATCTACCTGAGGACGACAACTTGGTACCAATTTTAAAATACCTGTTATTAGATTATAGTGTAAAATGAGTTCTTTCTAATGACTATAAACACATACATGTTAACTACAGAAGGTGGGCATGGCATCTGTCAGGGATAAATAAAATTTATCTTGTGTTTCATCTGCATTCAGTGAAACTACTTTGAAACATGTGTCAAAAGGGCAAGTGAACTACGTTTTTGACTAGACTTACACGTACATGACTACCCTCTTATGTCTCAAGCTGTATTTCGCTAAATTTCCATGTGCTTTATAGCTTGTGCATCACGTGACACAAACCTAAGAGATTTTGTTATTGCTTTCAACATTTCATTTGAAATAAAGGAATAAAAACTAAGATAATTTAAAACTTTGAACTATAATATACTTGATAATAATAATAATTTCATTAAATTTTGAATGTACCTCAGTGACATGTGCAGAGAGGAGTTTAAAAAGCATGTCATTTTCAAATAATTAACATGAAAATCACCTTGTACTCAGACTTGTCTGAATCAGACTGACTAATGTAAATTCAGAGATAAATCATTAGTAAAAATACTTTATTAAGAATTATGATTTTTTTTGTGTACAACATATTTGTAATGTTTGCTAAAAGGATACACTTACTAAATTTGGAATTATTGTAAACATTAATTCTCCAATACATACATCATGTTGCTTTGTATTTCTTAATTCATCTGATTTCATGGTATACTAATGTAGTTTTATGTTGCAGACTAGGGAGTGGTATCAGATATCCAACATGTTTATTCATCAAAGTATGTTAGTAATCAGTTTTCAAAATAACAGTATTGGTTTGTCTAGTAAAGGATATAATAAATTCTCAGTTCGCTGTAAGAACTTTTAAATTAGACACACATGCTACCATCCTTCTCTCACACTATACCACCATACGAAATCCAATTTCTTGATTAAACACCTCATTTTCAAGGTTATTATTACTCAGACATTGAACATCTACTTAACTTATATGAACAAAGTTTCACACATTTTGTTTATTGTTCATTTAGTTAAACATTTTGAACATGATTTTCATAGGAAAATTTGCTAATCAAAAACTGTTGTTCTTAAATATTTTATTTACTTTTTTCAGATTTCATCAGTAATTTGCCAAATACTAACTGATCTTTTAAGTTCTTTTAAATGTATTGGAGTTTTTTTGAAGCAGATCATAAGTTTTATAGTTTATGATTCTTTGTGCAGTAGTAACACTTGAAAATTAGTGTCTGTCCAAAATTTCAAAATATTTATAAAGTGTGCTACTTATCAGCCTTTGAGATAATTTTGATTTATCTTGTAAAGGATTTATCAAGTTCTCAGTGGATGCAATATTGTATTAGTAGCACTGTATTGTATTTAATAGTATTAAATTTAAGTTTGTCTTATTGTGTGCAAGATCGTAGTCCATTCTGGTGTCTCATATTGAATGCTATTAATCATAATAATGGTGAGATTTTTCATGTTAAAATTGCAGTTACATGCAAGAAAATATTTGTTTTTTTATGCATAATGAAATTTAGTTTAGAATGTATTTAGTTACTTGTGAATTCATTTGGTGTAATTATTTGTTTGCTAAACTAATTTTATCTAACTGTTTATTTTATTAGAAATATTCTAAAATTATATTCTCATAGGTACAAAATATACAACACTGAAAAGTACAGCAGTATATTTCAATAAAGCAGCCATACTTGAATATCAGACAAGGCTTGATAATCTCTATGAAGTATTTAAACTGAGGAGACTTAGATTTGTAGAAGAAAACTAAAGCTGTACCATAAAAGCAGCTTAGATATGTAAAGAAATGTGTATAATATCTTTATTGTACAATATAACTTAATTGTGGATGGTCCAGAGTTTTGCACCCATTTGATTGATCTCAGAAGTAATGTCTGATCAGCTTTAGCCTAAATGATTTGATAAGGTAATGTGTCATGCCACTTGTGTGCATATTTCAGGAGCTGATCACAACCCTTTACATTGGTTTCCTGGGTTTGATTTTTTCATCGTACTTCATGTATCTGGCAGAGAAAGATGAAGAGAATGAAAAGCGAACTTCAGATTTTACCAGCTACGCTGATGCATTATGGTGGGGTGTAGTGAGTATCTGTTTTCTGTAAAACCTTAAGTTCTTAGTGTATATATTAGATAAAGAAAATTTCATAAGTTAAGAAAGCTAAATTTGTTCAACAAAAATCTCAATGTAATATGAATTTCCACTTTGTATAGTAACATTACACTATGAAAGTGTTTAACATGAGTTTTTGCTAAATCAACCTACTACTGCCCATTTAATAAGATTTATTTTAAGAGATCAGTAAACTATTATACTAGATTAAAAGCTAGATTTGTGATTAATTTCATTTACAACAGTACATCCATGAGTTTATCAGTCTGAAACGTAGATTGATAGATTTCTTGTTAGAAAACTCAGCAGAACCATGATCATGTATGTGGCTTGTTTATTAAAATATCAGGAGTTTTTGACTGTTCTAATAACAATTATAAATGATCACTGTACATTTTAAACCTTTTCATTTTGCATAATCTTAAACCATAAAATATTTCTTATGTCTATATAGTACTCTAAATAATTTTTCTTCTAAATAGCAATAGTTAGCTAAACAAACACATGAGCTCATTATATAACTTCAGTGGTAATAACACCAGCTTATGCTTCAGTTAAGTATGATAAATTATTTTTTTCATAGTTTTTTAAACAAATTTATATTTTATTATTTCAACTTTTCAGTAGAGGTTAAGTATAGAGTCATGATTATGCTGCTGATTTTATATCAGTGGGACGTATTTTTCGGACTTACTAGATTCATGAAGCTAAGATTGCATTTAAAATTCTAGTCTCAATTTATTTGTTTTGCAATTTTGTTTTTTACTTTCTGGTTGATTTTTTTTTAATTTGGGGAGAATGCTGCTTATTTTGTTTTATACTGTTAAAAAAATATCTCTAAGGGTTAAATTCATACAAATGGATAACATTAATTTAAGATATGTCACTGTGGATTGATTTTTTCTCATTTTTTCATATGTGTGTGTGTGTGTGTGTGTGTGTTTTGCAATTTTTTTGGAAAAAGAATATAACACTGTGCACCAGAGCATTTAGAGAGCAACATATACTGAACTAGTATTGGTTACAAAATTACAAAATAACAGATTTATATGGTAGCTGTTTAAAATCACAGAAAAAAAATTGTGCTACATTTTTTTTACTTCTGATGGCATTAGTGGTCATTTTGGGAAACATTTATGTACATTGTTTTCATTTAAAGGTTGGTGTCTTTTGTTCAGGTAAGCTTTGGTGTCTCTCGACAGTTCTTGCACTTGTTTACTTTTACTTAATATTGGATGCTGATTAGAAAAATAATTTAATTTACTTACATGTATTTACTTGTCAAAATGTATTGTTTTTTGTTGATTTTTGTAACTGACTTGTATTATTTTTTTTTGCATGTATCAAACTGTACAACTATTTTCTATTGATTTTTAACTTTTATTTTGTAAGCAAATTTAAAAATATTTTAATATAAGAGTAATTGGTTAAAAATATGTTTTCTGTCTTATCAAAAGAATATTTTTTCTTTCATTATTACAATTTATGTTCATTTCAAACTTCACTGTGTTAGTTTTGTTTCAGATTTTTTGTTTTTTGTTAGATTACATTACATGGTCTTGAGCCCCACCACATAGATGATATGTTGCTAAAGAAATTGTTCCTGCATGGCAGATCTATTTCTTTTGTAGGGAAGCTGTAAGTTTCTTCTTAATGGATTGAGTTATTTTTGCAAGTAAAGTTCACTTATATTTAAAAAAAAATAATCTTGTGCTTTCATTTCCACATGATTTTGTATATATTGGTGTGGGATGCTGTTAATATCTTGTTACATTACAGATTTTATGTATTTCTGAACATAGCACATGCTACAGTGTATATTACAATTTGCCAATGTTCATAAAAGTTATCCTTTTGTGGGTCAGTGGTAAGTATGAGGACTTATAACTCACATCTGGGGCCTTGCACTAAAGAGAACAAAGAACCACAAGAATATTTTCTATATTCACAAGAAAGAACCATAAGAGTATTTTCTCTATTCACAAGAAAGAATCATAAGAGTATTTTCTATATTCACAAGAAAGAACCATAAGAATATTTTCTATATTCACAAGAAAGAACCATAAGAGTATTTTCTATATTCACAAGAAAGAACAATAAGAGTATTTTTTATATTCACAAGAAAGAACAATAAGAGTATTTTTTATATTCACAAGAAAGAACCATAAGAGTATTTTCTATATTCACAAGAAAGAACAATAATAGTATTTTTTATATTCACAAGAAAGAACAATAAGAGTATTTTCTATATTCACAAGAAAGAACCATAAGAGTATTTTCTATATTCACAAGAAAGAACAATAAGAGTATTTTTTATATTCACAAGAAAGAACAATAAGAATATTTTCTATATTCACAAGAAAGAACCATAAGAGCATTTTCTCTATTCACAAGAAAGAACCATAAGAGTATTTTTTATATTCACGAGAAAGAACCATAAGAGTATTTTCTATATTCACAAGAAAGAACCATAAGAGTATTTTCTATATTCACAAGCCTTGCACTGCACTGCCATTTGTCCTAGTCCCATTAGTAATTTTTTGTATTCAGTAGAATGAATGGTTTGTTTTAGTTATTCATTGACTGTTTTGAACGTTGTGATTTGGTATGACCCATCACCATTTTTAATTTGTTTCCTTTTTATGCTAAGTTACTGAAAAACTGTCATAACACCATTGTAATTTCTTGATATTCATAAGTGTTGGCCTGTTTATACCAGTCGCATGTTAAATTGTCATTTGTTGTTGCCTCATCATGATTTAGTATTCACTTATATTGGTTTCTTATTTTGAATAATCATATGTTGCATTTTCATTTGCCTTAACTTAATTACCATATTGTTGTAAGCTATATTTTTAGTGTTTTAACTTAGATTTTAGCTAGAGAGTACATAATGTTAACATCAAGTAAATTAGTAAATGTAGTCCTAGAATACCTAAAAGTTCACAATGATGATGACATGAAAAATCTAGTAGCTTCGACTGATATCTAGACGTGTGTACGTCAGTATATATACGAGTAATGAGTGAAGGATTTAGTATGAGAAAGTACTTGTTGCTCAAGAGAAGATTGTATAAGCTAATCAGTAAGTTAGTCAGTGCTTATTAGCAATAAAGGAAATTTCTCTTAAATGTTATTAGTGTATTAGGCCTAATTTTGTTTCAGAGTTTATTACTTTCACCAAATAATTCTGAAGAATCCACCCAATGACAGAATATATCAAAACAATATTTTGGTATTCACAAGAATGGTTTATCTGTTTTGTTAATCACATCATTTGTCACTGCACCACATTTTGTTGGTGTTCACTATATTTAGCTTCTTATAATGCCTCATTGTGAGTTGTTTCAGGCTTGTTACTATTTAGATGGTCATTAGTGTGATATCCTTACTTGAATGAATCACATTTAATATTGTTGGTTTTAGTAAGGTTGGAGTAAAGACTGTTCTAAATTAAAAGAATTCTCCATATTTCTTTTCATCATTTAGCATGCATTTGTTGTTGACATTGACTGAAAGAAAGTGTAATTGAAATGGAAAAAGACATCTACTATTTTTGCCTGTAATGTATAGCAAAATAAATACATATTATTATTATTATAACTATTATTAGAGAGACAGCACTATGGATGTGCTAGCCAGTAGCCTTGAACACTTATTAAAGTAATGGATTGAATATCATATATCAATTTTATTTCACAACATTTTTCAAAGATTATATGAACCAAAAATTTATCATTTTGCGTGATTGGGTCAGTATTCTGTATTGTTACTTCTTTAGTATAACTTCCATGATGAAGTTGGATATGAGTAAGTGGACTAAAAAATCTTCACTCATGCCACCAGTACTGCATCCAGTGATCATTACTTATTGAATGTTCATGATGTTTCTTTCCCCATGGCACATGGTCTACAAGTGGCTGGTTGTGACAGCTGCAGCCTTTTATAAACCCTACAGAGTAGTGCAACCAATGGGAAATTGGTGGAGAAAGGTCATTTATGACCCCAATAACATAATAGATTAACCCTATTGCAATGGGTCATGGGTGAAAGGCCATGTCATTGCGTTTGTTGACTCGCAATCAAAATTTTATTGAACTACTATTTCATGAACTTATATCAATAAGTTTGGTATCAAACTGTAGATTATAAATCAAATTTTAGTATTATACCTCACTCAATTTCTTAATTTAAGAGTAAATATTAAAAAAACAGATAAACATCAATTTTTGTGTACACGTGCTATGTTGAATGCAGCACTGGTTCAAATTAGATGTTTGTGATGTCAAAATACTAAGTCTTTAGTTTCATATAATTATGAACTCATATTACCTATATTGAAAAGCTAGAATATAAAATAAGATCCTCTTATCTTTCCAATTTGCTAAGATATTGCTCATCTAATAAATCAAATACAGTGGCACTCCGCCCACCTCTTTCATTTCTAGAAACTGTCCAATATATACACTTACTTCTATATATGACATGAATAACCAATTGTAAGCTCAGAATGTCCCCTAGTGACTTTCTCAGCCATTTTAATGTCTTTGGATGCCATCTCTTACTTTCGAACCAAGATTTCAAGGAGGTAGGTTGTGTCTTTAGTCTACTCAGAATATCTTATTTTTTTAGATTGAAATACAGCTTAGTTACTAAGCTTGACAAATTATAGTGGAATTCTCTGGTATTGTTAGAGTAATTTATGATTTTTTGGTTACTCAACTGTATATATAAAGCAAAACCGAGTACTAAGGTCTAACTAGAATAGATAATTTTTTGCATTACTTCTTTATTTACTGTTCTGTGTTTTCAGAAAAATAAGTTTAAGAACATATATGATATTTGAAATGTGATTGTATTTTACAAAATACTGGTCTACTAAAACACAGCCAAGA